AATGGAACAAAAGCAACACTGAGGGCAGAAATGTAAATGCAACAAATAATGGAAATAGCTCAGTTACATCTAAAAATCCGTCTACAGTGCAACCACAGAGATTGGTTCAGCCTACGACTAGTGCCATAAATCCTTCTACCATCAGTCATACTGCAGCAACGACTGCCAAAGCCAAAGAAAACGTAACGAAAAGAACAGAGACGAGCAGTTGGCCAAACAGCACACCCCCAAGGTCCACTGATGGCACCGCTTTATCTTCAAATGTCACTACGGTATCAAAAGATGGAATAAACAAATCTGCCACAAACTTCAACAAAATCCCAATGTCTTTAGTGACTTTTACAACCATGGGTGACTTTTCTGGAGTGACCAAAAGTGCTACAGCTATCTCTACTTCCACAGCGACACCAAGTAACTCCACAGTCACCTACAGTACACCTTTGGCTGAGGCACTCCCCAGTGAGAACTCTTCGATCAACCACACCACTTGGTTCCCCACCAGTATCACTCCAACGTCACCCACGGTTAAGCAGGACAGCCCTACATTGGACTTCAACCCTGTTCAGCAGACAACAGAGCAGAATCGTAATTTTAGCGACCCTTCTATGGCATCACCTAATTCAAAAGACGGCAATGAAGGTAAGTATCTAACTAAAGTCCAACTGATTTAATAAAATCATAATGCTGAAATAAACCCTTTTTTTCATTGAGCAGGAGGCTTTATAAGACATGTGAATTAACAGGTAACCTAGTACAGACTAAAACTAAAACTCAAAACAAAAAATATTTTTTAAAATTTATTTGCTGTTGTTTGTTTAACACTTCCAAGAGTGGGGAGACCTAACGACAGGTACTGCCCGTTCACACTGGAGCAGACCTTCAAAGCGTATGTGTAGAAATAACATTTAAAACATGTAACACATCAGCTTATTTAAGTTCAGAAACTTTTGTGACTAAAGATGACTTCTTACAAATACCTAGAAAGGAATTACTCATTGTGCATTTAATTATCAACCTGAGTATGCGTGGGAAATGGAGCATAAAGCTGTCATGGCACTTTTTAATCCTGCTGCTCTGAATCAGGAAAAGAATAGGAAAAATTAGAAGACACAGTAATTTTTTTGCCATTAATTAGCTTTCAAGCTTCTAACACAGGATTGAAAGGCTTATCCATCATATCCAGCAGAGTACAGTGTGTACTAAGAACTGAAGGAGCATCAGACTTTCATGTTTCCCATTGTAGTTCTAATAATTACCATGTACCCGATTTTTAGATAACGTGACTGAAAAGGAAGGGGGGTGGGAAAGCAAGCGCAGTTCCAAGAAAAACAGAATACTTTGAAGAAAAGTTTTATGAAGTCTGAGGAAAATCTTGGAGGAATGCACTTACTCTGCCAACCGAACAGGTGCAGAAAGCATTACTGGGTTTCTTACCTTGCATACTAGAAACTGGTACTCAAACTTAATCAGTTGAAATTCAGAAGCTGCAATTTTAACTGCTGGCTTAAATATTTACAAATAATTGCATTCAAAGAGTGATTACTGCTTATTTCTTTAAATAAAAGGATAGTGGTTGATTCTGTAATTAAACCTGGAACCTTTTCATTTGACTGAAAACTCAATTTAGCCTTCTTATTTTTTTAAACCCTAGTTATTCCCTTGAAAGTCAAGGCTGGAGATGTCTATTTTCTTTTATGAAGGCAGAAAGTTTCTGTAGAGAGGTTGGTTTAGTCATAGTCTGCAAACTGGTTCAGATGCTTGGTGAAAAGTCTCACTCCAGAAAGCCCTTAACTGCTGTAAAGCGAGAGTGAAGTCTCTGCTCTTACAGATTTACTATTCTCATTCAAATGTCTCTCCTTTCTTTCTTTCTCTCCTAAACAAAACCAACAAAGGAGGAGTAATAGTTGGTGTCATTATAGGAGCCATTCTGGGATCTATATTAATTGGTCTGATTGGATATTTTGTATGTGGCAAGAAAAGGTCTGAATCATTTTCCCACAGACGGCTTTATGATGATACAAGGAATGACCCAGGTAAGGAACAGTAGAAGTGTTTTGTGTAAGAACAGTTTTGATTTCTGCACAAAGCTGCTTAAATAGTCTGGTCTTATTGAATTATTAGGAATTATACAACTGACTCCAGTCAAACTAGTTTTCAACTGACAGTACTTCACTACATGTCTCCTCCTTACAAATTATTTTTTAACCTCTGAAATATGAGGAAATATCGTATCTAGTATCAGTGAACCTGTTCAAAGACTTACAGGCAAGTTCAAAACTATTGCTTGAAAGCTCTCCCAAACCTTGATTAACTGAAAAGGGCGAGACTTCTTATTAATCCAACTTCAATTACAGAATGAGGGATGAAGCCATATCTCTTTTTAGGAGCAAAAATATTTGTAAGAGGTTTAAAAAGAAGATTGCATTTGTCTTCTCCATGAATATGTATAAACTTGTTTTAAAGCATAAACACAGTCTCCAAACATTTATATCATGTTCCTGGATTTTATTTTTAAATGTTTAAACAAACACTGAGAGGCTAAACAAACTTTTTTCTCATATAAAAATCAAATCAAAATAAAACTCCGGCAATGTGCCCTCTCTGGCTTAAATGCAAGAGCTGAGAGGTGCCAGGACGTCAGGTTAGGAACTAGCTTTGAAAGTCAACCACCCATGTAGGGTGGAACGGGCATTACTGGGAGGACACCTTATCTCCAGACAACCATGGATTGAGGCCTTTATTTTTTGCTCCCCCATACATAAGAAATAGGTTAACTGGGTTTAGCTGCGAGGGACTGCTGAACTAAACCATGAGGTACCCAGTGTATGGGGATAAGAATCTTTCAAGCAATATATAAAAAATAATTACATTATCCTTTCAGTTCTCCACTTAGACAACTCACTTGGACCATACGATACGGGTTTTGGATGTGCGTCAGATGACAAAGGCAGCACGGTAGACAAGGCAGAGGAAGTCAACGCGGGGTGCCCATCCGACGGCATTCCCATGGCTGACATGACACCATCCCACCCTTCACAGTAATGTCTGCTCCAGATTGTATTCTCACCTGTTATCTGCATGCTTTCATTTTTCCCCAAGTGACCTGGCAACTGTTATCTTACAGCCACAACTGTGCAAACAGTGTTTTGGAAAGCAAAGGGAAAATCACAACATACACTCATACGCAACAGGGAGGGCCCAGTAGCAGAGCATCACTCTTCTACTTTGTAATCAAATTATCAACCTCTGGTTTTCCTGGAAGGTTATTATACGTGCTTTATTAGAAATAATATAGACAAATAGCACCCAGGTAAAATTCTGCCTCGTGTAACTTTGGTCAAGAATGCAGACATTCAACAGAGCAAAATTTGACTAGGATTGCAATGGTATTTTAGCAATGATACAAAAAAATCCCAAATTTATCTGCCTTGAGGTGAGACTATTCTGTCCAAGTACAATTTCATCCGATAAATGACTCAGGGCATTTTTTTCCCCACTCTACATTTGTACCTTTCCCCAGTGAATTTGATAAAAAGAATCAGATTTACTTGGATTACTCAGAGGTTGAAGTTTGCCGGGGAGAATGGAACTACTGAGTAACACATTTAACCTTGACTATGATGACACATATCATGTTCAGCTTTCGTCTTCCTTAGCGTATATTATGCCATCTTTCCTGATAATGGTAAAACAGTATCATATAAGCAAAATTCCTCCTTAGACTTGAACCTTGGCCTCAGCTGAAAATGGAAAGAGCTCTCTCTAAGGAGAACTCGAAGACAGAGATGAAGAGATGCTAAGAAGCTACCAGCATTGTCTACACTGGTAACCATAACATCAAGCACAATGCAGTTTAGGAATTTATGAAACTAATTGCAAGGCTACAACAGCAAGATTAGGAGCCAATGGAGAAATATCACTGAAGCAAGCAATCAACGTCTGCCCTTCAGTTATATTGTGTTAATTTTTAACAATCTAACTATGATTTTTGCATGTATGTACATGTGCTTGCGCTGTCTATGCACCTCTTCGATGTTTTGCTGTTGTTTGCATATTGTTTTTTTGCTTGTACCAGGCCAGCCTCCATAATGTGTGACATTTGTTCATCCTTCATTTTCAGTTAGGATCACTAATCCTTATTCATACATATTACATAAATAAAGCTGTTGTGTGCCATTTGACTCTATTTAAAATTGTAAAACTCTGGCTTGAATTCAGACAGTTGTATGCACATGAACTGGTGTTATTTTCCCAGGGTTTACACAGACAAACATTTACATTGGTGAAATTAATTATCTCTTGTTCTAATATCAGTTTTTCCTACTTTCCAGCAGCAAAATTATTAGCTTCACTGAAAGCCAGTTCCATCAGGCATTTCATGCTGGACTCGTTACATCTGTCGTGTAAGGCACTATTACACTGACCTTCTAAGAGAGGCAAGACTGTTCTTGGCAACTCCGGTTCAACAGTGGCCTCTGCAGATATCACCCTGCTTGGCTTCGGGCCCCGTGACATGATGTGTGTGATGTCAGAGTGAACGTAATGCGATATTCAGACTGACAATTTGAATATAAATATTTAAATTGTTGTGAGCACTTAAATCAAATCTTTCCTATACTTCCCTCGAATGTGCTCCCACAAAACCATTCTCATTTATTCTATAAGAATTCTCTTAAAGATGTGATTTTTAGATTGACTCCAGATCAATAAATTAACCTACACGTTTGCCTTTAAAAAGACCTCTGCCTGCATGATATAAAACTCAGGCTTCAAGACATTTAAGGTGCTAAAGACAGTCATTATATTAATGATAAAAGGTATTATTTTCACCCACAACTAGCAAAGAAATTGAAGTTGATGAAAATAGGAAAAAAACGTTTGTGTGACAAAATCATAATCCTCCCTCAAATTTTATCAAGAACCATAATCTCCCTTTACCAAATAATCATATAAAAGGGTCAGGTGAACTAAAAATACAAAACAAATAAAAATGTACTTACCCCAGATTGCCATGAAAATAGCAAAGAAGACAGTCCCTCCGTTATCAAACAAATGTGTAACCTGAATAAAAAAGAAATACATCAGGAACAAATAAAATTGCCACCTTATCTCTTGACCCAAAGAATCCCAGAGCACCGAACTGCTGGCAGAAACTAAAAGCTAAGCATTCCAGTAGGAAGTCCTACTTGATCATTTCTTCTACCAAGGTTTGTCCCATTTTGTCTTTCAGCATAACTTGGAACTCCGGTTTTGCAGACTGTCCCTTCAGGTATCTCCAGTCTATTAGTTTCACAGACACTAAGAGCTGCACTGCCTGTGTTCAGACAGGCTAAAAATTCCTCCAGAGTTATCATACGTTGGGCCAAATTTAACCTCAACATTTTCTAGTTTAAGGTTTTTTTTTTTTGTTTTTTGGTTTTTTTTTTTTTTTTCCCCACGTTTCTTCCTCTGTATATTACTTAGTTAATGTCTCTCTTGATTCCGTTTTCTTCTTCTCCCAAGCTATCTTGCAATTCTTCTGCCTCTCAAATTGTTGACACATTCTCCTTCTTAAAAGGCTAGTGCCCCCAAACTCCAACAAACATTAAATAAATTCTAAATACCACCCCCCTTCCAAACATAATCCTAAATTGTGCACTTAATTTGTCCTCATGAATGCTCTCTTTTTGATGGATTTATCTCTTATCTTACTCTTTTTAACAAGATTTTTTGGGCAGAACAGATATTCTGTTGCAACATCCAAGGCTTACCAACAAAAAATAAGTAATAGTTTTGCATGTCTATGGAACACTCTAAGCATCTGAGTGGGTGAATGTAAATCTCGCTTATTATGAAAATATCACAATTTGTATTACAAAAATCCAGAATTTCTAACATTCAAGCCATAATATGAGACAGTATTTAGAAAGCTGAAATTAAGATCAATGTACTTTCGTCAGATGTAAGGTTGCCAATTTACAGCAATGTAATTTATCCAGGGATTATGGGCCTATATTTCTTCTAAGGAAACATAGTTTAAGATGTTGCTGAGCAATAGTAAGCAAAGCACAGGCTTCAAATTCCTAGCTGAAAAAAAAAGCACACATCTTCATAAAATAATGGAGTAAATCAACTTATCACCAACAGGCATATGTTAGAAAAAGGATCTGAAGAAAGAGGAAAAAGAAATGCAAAAGTGCTGCAAATGGCTTTGATATGTATCATCCTAAACCATTCAGAAAACTCATGGTGATTTCCTGCTCTTCGAAATAAGAAGAGAATGTCTTGAAATAGAGTTGTCTTGAAAAGACTTTACTTTCATTGGTGTTGACTCTGTTGCTGACTTAAGGACCGATTTTTAAGCTTTTATCATGAAAAGGAATCTGTCCTTATGCCAATGCAAGGGCGCAGGTAAACACATTCAGATCTGCTGTAC